CGTTTACCATATATTTTTGAAATTTATTGATGTTATAATTATTTATAAATGTTAATTTTCTAATCACCACTCGGCTATTGTCAATTTTTCTCATCCGGTTAGGTTGGCAAGTTCGGCGTTAGGGTTTTCTTTCAATTCTTCAATAATTCCTAGAAAATTATCTCAACTAATCAAACTTTTTTCTTCTTTATCGTATTTTTTTCGTGCTTGGTTTATTTCCTGTTTCTTTTGAGTTAAAAGGTTTTTTAGACTTTTAGCCTGTTCTGAACTAATATTTTCTCAGGTTTCACTTTCATTAGTTATTTTCTGTTTTCAATCAGCAAAGAAATTTTGGATTTCATTGTCTTCTCAATAAGCAAAACTATCAGCAACTATATCGTTAATTTCCTTTTCTAACTTTTTATAGTTTTTGTTTTGTTCTTGAAACTTCTTGGCCGATTCCTCCCTTTCTTTATTTTTTGATTCTTTCGTAGACTTTTGCCAGTTTTTTTGCTTCTCTTTACATTCTTTTTTTTCGCAACTATGTTTTTTTTCTTCACCTCTAAAAAAATGGCACAGACAGTCCCCCGAATGATCGCAGGTTCAATTGTTAGTTTCTGCCTGGCACCAAGAGCAAATAATCTTTTTTTGTCCCATAATATTATTTGTTTACAATTTAGTAAATATGATAAATTTTTGGTTTAATCCCAGTGAAAAATAAATACGCAACATTCCCTTGTCAACTTCCGTGAGCAAAAAAGGTTCAGTTAGATTTTTCTTATGCTCCGAGTCAACGGTTAGGAGTAACTAAAACTATTTTTTTGGATGAAATAAATTTACTTTTTAAAGGAAATATAGTGCAAGATGTCCGGGAGAGGCAAAGGTTTTTAATGCACTTCATAGCGTTAAGTAGACATGAAGGGACGAGATTGTTTGTTAATGCTCAAAGATTAGGGCAGGTGAGTATTGAGCAGAGGGAGGTTACGACGGAGATTTGTCAGGTCTCACTTTTACAAAAGACTGATGAAGGGATTTATATTCAGTGTGTAATTTGAGAAGCAGCAGCGTGGACTAATAGTAAGACTGAGCAAGGGTTTGTGATTTTTGTGCCTAAGAAATATTTAGATACTTATAATTCGTATTGGTTGAAAAGTTTGAAATATTTGCGGCCAGGGCAAAGTTATGTTTAGAAAAATTAGCAATTAGTTCTAGATAAAAAAATGCATAAAACTTATAATATAATAGAACAAAAGTTCTATAAAGATATTAATAAAAATAATTGCCTATGGTCAGAAAAATTAAAATATCTAACTAGTTAACTATATAATCACTCCTGGTTGGATATAAATTGTCTTAATTAGCCGAGTGGTGATTAGAAAATTAACATTTATAAATAATTATAACATCAATAAATTTCAAAAATATATGGTAAACG